ACAAAAGAAATCCATCTGTTTCTATCAGTTCTTTTCTACAAAGCAAAAAATTTAGCAAGAAAAAAAGGATATTCCCCTTTTTTATTGTGCCACTTTGACTCCATTTCTCAAACCTCTTCCACAGATGAACTCCCATTAACACCTGCTCACACCATCTTTTTTGCCCAAGGGGCAATCTCCACCCTTCCCGAGAACAGAGAACACACAATCACCTTGAGATAAGAAAATCTAAACGCAAGAAGTACCCAGCCTTGGACAGTGTGCTCCCTGGACCTATGTACTTACACAATGGAGCTCTATATACAGTACACTACATCAAGAAAAGAGGGGGGGGCACTGATGGCATGGAAGGGAATGAAAAGGCTGCCAGCACTGAGTGCTTATCTTTGCGGGAGCAGCAATGCCAGCCAGTCAAATCTGCCTCTGTTGCACAGATACATTTAGTGATGAGCCGTCAGTCGAGAAAATTAGACCAAAGTAGAAGGGATTTTTTTGCTCAAAAAGAGTGAAGTAACCCTCTCTGAAAACATAACTATATCTGAGCAATCCCGCATCACATTAAAAAGGAGTAAGTTACTCCCTGAGGGTACAGAGCACACATGATGGTAGTAATGAGACCCATTAGGAAACTTTTGACTTCTCAGACAGGTACTATGGCTGAACTTACGGCAAAGCAACTAAATTTCAAACAATATCCCGAATATATCTCTGTTTCAGATAGCGCTTATCAGCAGCCTTTATATGAGGTTTTTATCAGATAGATCAAGAGTTAAGACATGAGATCCATTGTTCTTGTTGTTAATGCTGGAGTTTTGAAAAACTAACCTTGATATTTTTCAAGTGGGATTTAAAAGGGAATCATTGGAAAATGTGTTTATTATTTGATGGATTTTAATGACGTTTCATTCATTTTCAACCCTCACTTTCTTTTAGCAGTAATCTAGCAAAAGAAGAAGTCATCTTCTGATGATCAGATAACCACTTGGTGGGGTTTACGAGTGGAGTTTATTATTTGACAGCAGTGCTGCAGGAAACATGGATCAAACTGTGCTCTTAAACATATTTCCTTCCCTGGGGCGGATTAACGAACAGGCTAGCAAAGGCTGTAGCCTAGAGGCCCAGAATAATCAGGGGCCCCTGATTTGCCAGAATTATTGTTTTTTTTAGTTTTGTAACAGACCTGTGGGCCCCCATTGGTCCATAAAAACGTTAAATAATTTGTGAACCGATTGGTTAGATGCAGATCAAATTTATTTTGCATGATTTAATATCACTGTTGTGTCATTCAGTGGATCATCACTGGTGCAAGTTTACAGTGGTTAGCATCAAAATGTGGGCTAGAAAATATTGTAACAAGTTCAAGTTCTCTGGCTTTTGCCTTCACTGCATGGGCTCAAACCCAGGTCTCTGGTGTTGCTCAACAGGGGTCTTGTCGGCTGAGCTGAAGGAGACCTTCACTTGTCCTGGTGGCCAACATCCCTGTTATGCGGAGGGAAGTAGAGAGCAGTGCCGTCACCATGCTGCAACCAGCTCGTATAACCTGTATGTTGGCCGTATCCGTTACAATATATTAGTGGGGTGTAAAAATAAAAAGCACAATGGTTAAAAGATCAGCGTGAGCAGGATCTACTTAAAAAGTTCCCGGATTGACTGGTCATCCAGTCAGCCTAGATAGTCATCCAGTCAGCCTGAGCCAGACCCCTATGCCGAGTTTACTGCTAACTTTGCAGCCAGTGACACAATAACCGAGGTTGAGAGGTTAGCTGCAGCTAGCTCTAGCCTAGGCGCACACCACATCAACACAGATCATGATGACGAGCCAGCTCGTAGATTGGCTGTAAATCTGATTTATTGGTTGCAGTGCTGTACTTACATTAATTTACAGGCTATAGTAGTGTGTGTGTGCATGTTCCCGGTGTGTGCAGCATCATATTTTGTTTGAATCAATGGTAGCACTCTCTTACTCCAAACGGGTCACTGAATTATTAGTTCAGTTCAGTTCAGTTCAGCTCAGTTCAATTCACGTTTATTTGTTATTCCAGCCATATACAAGTATACAGAGGAGCGAGATATCGTTCTCCAGGTCTATGGTGCCAATACAGACAAGACTCTGACAAGACAATGCTAAAGACAATGCTGACATAGACATTTTCTGACAGGGTACAGGGTACATAAAGTGCAATGTGCATGGTGCAATTTACTTTAAGGATTGTGCAAAAGTTGTGCAAAGAATACATCAGACAGTATGTCTGACATTAGGCAAAAAATAACTAAGTTTCCAGATTTGGAGTAGGCATAGTAGGTGCCTGGGTGTTGAGGAGCCTGACAGCCTGTGGAAAAAAGCTGTTACAGAGTCAGGTATATTGGTATACTGGTATATTACAATATTTTTCTCTCGCTTGTAATTGGGATGGGTAGGGGGGCCTACACAACGTGTAGCCTAGGGGCCTCTGATCACCTTAATCCGCCCCTGTAATCCTCCCTAATTAAAATGAAACTAATTCTCTTTATTCCTTTATGTGTAGTATTGGACCTCAACCAGCTTCTGCAAGCATCTATTGATACTAGATTGGGGCTTTTTGGGGAAACATTTCCAAGTAATAGAAAAAATTCCAGGGTACGCTTTGAATTATAGAAAGCTGAAGAAAAATACTTTTTTGTTATGTTTTTTGTTCAGTGATAACAAAAGGATTCACACATTTTTTAAATAGATTTACTTTCTTTTAATACATCCAAAATAGCTCCAAGATTCTTTTATCTATTTGATGGTTTTACAACATTTGAATGTGCACCTTTTGGTACAGTAGATTAATAAATAAACAGGAGCAAGGAATCTCTTTTAATCTTTTATTATTTTTATTGTGGTAAGATATAATGAGTTTTTTTCATTAAAGTGAAGTAATACACATACAATGATTGAAAATAAGCAAAATGGGTATCTCTAACATGTAAATTAATTTCTGCATTAACAGAGAACTTCAGGACTAAACTAATTTTCATACCAATACCAATGACATCGCCCCCTGGTGCTAACTAATGAGCTTCTTCATTCTCATTTGCTGCAAGGCTTTAACAATCATTCTTCAAGACTTCAGGAAGAGCTTTCACATACACAAGTTAATTCTCAAGGGTAAGCAAAAAATATTTCTTATAAATATTATTTCAGCAACTATAATATTGTAATATTTCTTGAAGTTAACGAAAACTTCAGAATCACCAATGGCCATCTAGTAAAATCAGTGCAGGAGGTGAAACGTAAAAAAAAAAATATTGATACACCTCTTCTTCTTCTGATAAATACTGAAAGTGAAAGTACGGGAAGAAATCACCAGAGACTTTGGACCTTCCTTTATGCAACATTGATAAAGGGGTCCCTCAGGTAGGCTCAGCACTGGAAGCACCAGTCTCACAAGTCTGTGCTAAGCCTTCAGTCCCATAGGGCAGTATAATAAGAAGTGTGCTGTACTCTGTGTCTCTTTCTTTCTACAGGGCCACCTGCTCTATTTCTTCCCCACATTGAGTTCATTTATCAAGTGTCTGATAGAAATATAATTTGTTATAAGTTTACAACATTAATCACCTTGCTGTCCTACTTCTTGTTTTTTTTTGTGGGGACAAGTAATCTTTCGCTTTCTTTGGGGATGTAACACTCAACTCGAGCAGCTGTAAATGTGCATGGCATTTCTGCAGGCACAGCTAGAAGCAGGCCTCAATCCACCAGTGCAAGACTAACCCCGTCTTCCTGTCATTTTACATTTCCCATTGCGTCATTTATGCTCAGCCATCACAAACTACATGACAGGGCTCCTGAGCTTTGACAATAAACTTTCAGAAAGAAACTCAATGATTGCATGATCAGGGACAACGTCTAATAACAGATTTAAAATAAATTGGTTTCATTTGTGACTCAGATGCCTGTCACCTCTTTGACTTGCATAATAGCTCAATGATCATGTCATGTACAGTAATGCCAGGTTTGCATGTGTTAAAGTTTAAAGTTAAGAAGACAGAAAAATACCTCTCCCTTTTTATCATTACAGGAGATGATGTGGTTTGTGATGACTGCCATGGAAAAACAAGAAGTGCAGATATGAAACATGGTGATCTGACTGTTTACCAAAGTTTTTGCAGTATTAGGACAAAAGAACTAATAAAATGCAAGGCATGTACTAGAATGCCAGAGCAAGTCATCTTGCTTCAACTCTGATGGAAGCCGGATATTCTGAGTGGCTTTGTGATTGAAGCTAATCTATGAGACATTCTGCTTTTGTTGTGTGACCACATACAAATCTATACCTGTTTGATGTTATCTCGACAGAAGCACATCTCTAAAAGCAGGCATAATCATTTTCTTTAAATCAGTACATTTGTAATGCAAACTTTACAAACTGCATAATTGTCTTTTTAATGTAGTGGTATACAAATATCACCTATTTCTATGACCTACGATACTTAAAACAGCATGATGGTTTTGAATTACTGGCATCCATCATGGACCAATTTCATTTTATCAAAAAACTATTCTGCAAGGTGATGGCAACCACAAATGGTGAGGTGTTCAGTGAGGGGAGATAGAGCGTGACTAAACTAACATGCAAATCAGTTTTATTTGCTTTTAAAAAGACAACTAAACCTGCCAAGAGCGGAAACAGGCTTTTGTCATGTACTGTAGGTGGAATGACAGAAATTATTGTTTACAGGGAAGACACTGAAATTATGTTTGCCAGTCAAGACAGAACTAAAGGCATCTTCGACTCTGACAGTAAAGTACTGATATAAATGCAGTTGTGTTGCACTTAAAATCACAAACCCTTATTGTGAGCATTCCTCAGAAAGCTAAACATTTTACATCACAGTGGTACAGTTGCAAATGCTTTCTCTTGGGCTTTGCTCTTCTCCTTTGTCTAATACATGTCGCAAACTAAGAACAACAACAAACTGAAAGGAAATTAGGTTTATGACACAGAAAGGAACAACTGGGTAGAAACCAGCACACTAACCTTTCTTATCACCAAAATAGAGAGTCTGTTGAGCTGGATTTGACCACTGGAGGGAAGTGTTGTCATTGTGATCCACCCGGCAGGTCAGGTTTACCGTTCCTCCTTCTGTGACTGTCACATTCTGAGTAATTGGAAACTGCCCTTGGCCGCCTGTGACAGAGAGAGAGAAAAGAAAGATACAAAATATAGTAACCTGTTGTGTTTTTAGTATTCATGCTATAAAAGAGAGAGATATTATCATGAGTCTCCCTCACAGCTACAGTAAGTCTCAAAGAAAAGGTTAAGAATGCATCTATTTCAAAACTAACACAGGGCATTTCTAGCACATACTGTAAATTTTCCACTTATAACTAACAGATGTACTGTATCATTACAATGACTTCAAGCAAAGAAAAACTTTTTTGGATCAAAATAATTAAATAAAATATGATTCTTTTGTACAGGTAAAGACCTGTTTTTCCCAATGGAAAATCAGAACACTTTTCTAAACAATACAGTCAGGGAATGTATATTCAGAGTGAAAACTTTGTGAAGGATATTATTAACCATAAGGGAGTGGGTGTTTATCTCTTTACCAGTTATTTTCACTGATTGCTTCAGATCCTTTCACTATGTCTACACTGTCAACATCCACCTGAGCTAGTCAGCAAACTACCCTTCAATTACTTTAAATGTAACCATGTTAACATGGTGATTGAATTATACTTTTCAGTTGAAGGGAGACAAACAAGTCAACAGAGCAATTACACCAGCAGTGAGAACTGTGTCAATAAAGAAAGAGAAAAACAAGTCAGTGAGTTTACATTCCTTAAAAAGGTTGATGGCAGTTTACAGAGAAAAATGAAAAACAAAAAATCAGTAATGCAAGGGGACAGCATGACAATGCATAATGTAAGGAACTGCTAAAATGGTGTGTCAGCATCCTTAGTTTTCTATTAAGGACAGTTTCAGAGAATTGAACTGGGATTGCGTGGCTCGAAATCAAACACGCTGTCAGCGTGTCTAAAGCTCCAAAACTCTCTGAGCCATGCAACAGACACGGCTATAGAAAGTGTTTAACTCAAATGCTCAGGAGTTCATCATAAGAGACAGGCATAACAGAAGCATGGGGATACAGCACAGCAAGGCACACTATAAGCATAATGTTAATCTAAAAGCAAGAGAAATGGAATAGGTGTAAGGTAAAAGCATCACGGAAATTCTAAATCACAGCAGTCAAACAACAAGAGTGAGCACAAGCAAGAAAGAACAGTTTCTTATGAATTCAGTGTGAAACAAGGGTGCTACTTTGCAGCTATTCTTTGTCTCATTGTTCTGTGCCTCTAATTGGCAGCATGGCCCAATTAGTGTCGGTTATGTTCTGCATTTAAGTGTCTGCTTTTGCAACTGGGTGGTAAATTGGCACATAATCCCAAACATACGGCTCTTCGCACCAAGATGATGCATAAGTACAGCAATTCATGATGGAGAACACAGGGATAAAATTCTCATAATCATAAAGCTTTCATTTTGAAATATTTGAAAGGGTTTATTCATCTGAAGTCTTTTAATTACTTTCTAGAAGTCTTACTTCAGTGTTTTGGGTTTCCCTAACTACAGAATGTTTTAAAGACTAAAAACAAGCAAAATAACACATTCCATTAGAGCTGCTGCCTAGTTTGCCCTTTTGTAAAAATACCACAAATTGCCACAAATATATCAGCTTTGATATTGTACTTACTGTAGTAATTCAATATAATTCAAAGCATTTTTAACAGCTATCTTAATAAACTCACATTCAGCATTAAACAAAAAGTGTAACAGGTCTATATATTGCAAATAAATGTGAAACTCATTAAGTTTTTCTTTTTTGTCTTGGTTGCCTCTCGAGGAAATAAAAGAAATGACTATCACAAAATGGGAAAATTAAGGTCACCCAGTGCTGTAAATGTTACATCAACCTTAGGTAACATGTCGGCATATCCCAAAACAAAGTGAATAGAAAAGATGGTATAACAGCAACATCACGTAACCCACCCTGAACTTTAAGTTGGAAACATTTTATACTCTATGGGGCCTGCTTGTCCCAAATTACATATAGTAAACACTTCTTATCTGGCCCACTGAGAGACTCTAAATGATTAACCACCGTAAGTGAAGGTCACATAAATCGGAAAGACATTTCAGTCTTTCACATGGGGATGGTGCCCTGGTAATAATAACAGGTCATAGAAATTCTCTGCCCCCGGGCACTGGGCTGTTTTTACACTGCAAGTTACATCAACCAACAGGCTTGCTTAAGGGGACATGTGTATGCCCTGTATATATTGTGCATATGTTGTACATACAGTAATTTGTATATGTTCTTGTATTTTCAAGTAGGGATTGGTTGAATATTGCCTTTAAATGCCTCCTTATTTCAATATCAAAAGGCTTCGCAGAGACTATAAAGGAAGCTCTGGAAACCCTGTGATTCCATGCCTTGCTGTGACTTTCATCTCTCAATAAAACTAATAAATAATATAAGTAGATTTTTGAAGGTATCTGTTAATTCAACAAATTGAATTTGCCCTCTCCTCTCTAAAACCGACTTGCTTTCTTGTTTCAAAAGTGCAGGAGTGGCTGCATTAGTAATTGCCACGGAACAGGCTTGTGAGGACTTGCTTCCAGAACATGGGCACCATCAAGGACTGGCCCAGAGCTAATGATGTAGTGTAATAATGAATAACAACATAAGAATGTTTACAATAACCGAGGAGGACATTTGGTTCATCTAGCCCATTTGGGTTTTAGCAGCTAAATCATCTGGTGATCTTATCTACCCATTTTATGGGAGAAGCCGGGGTTTCAGCTTCATCATCATGGCTGGGTAGCTTGTTTAGGACTCCCAAAACTCTTTGTTTAAATATAAATTGGAAGTAAAGTATTATAATACACCCATCTATCCATTGATGGACCCCGGCGTCCTGGCCAAATTTCCCATCGGCCTTTATCAATCATGGCCTCCTAACAATCCCCCTCTATAAATTGGCTTAATTACTCTGCTCTCCTCCCCACTGATAGCTGATGTGTGGTGAGCGTTCTGGCGCACTATGGCTGCTGTCGCATCATCCAGGTGGATGCTGCACATTGGTGGTGGTGGAGGGGAGTCCCCATTACCTGTAAAGCGCTTTGAGTGGAGTGTCCAGAAAAGCGCTATATAAATGCAAGCAATTTATTCAATGCATAATAATGGGGGAGACGGAGCCTATCCGAGCAATCAAGGGATGTAAGGCAGGATACACTCTGGACAGGAAGCCTGTCTGTTGTCTTTGGACTGTAAGTGGAAACCAGAGCACCTGGAGACAAAACACATGAGCGCAGGAAGAACATACAAACCCCACGCATATAGCACACCAGGAACTGAACCCAAGGCCCCAGCACTAAGAGGCAGCAATGCTAACCACTGTACCACAATGTCATCCGCGATGCAATGTTTTATTATTTTTGATAAATAGTGCTGGATAAAAAAAAACAATGACCCAAAATCTGAAAATAATTTCAGGATTTACATCTAAAAATAGTGTAATTTACACCATGTGCACTAAGGGTATATGGTTTATAGCTTTGAAAAACATTACTCTTGCTGCCTTCAGTTTGTCTAATCAGACGTCCACATGTGTATTGATTCCCTACCTCAGAGGGTTATGTGATTGTATCACAGTTCTGTCATTCAAACACCAAGCTCAGCTCAGCCTGTTAGCTGCAGAGGATTAGTTGTTCCTCTCTTTAGTATTAAGGTCAGCAGAGGTTGAGAGAAATGAGGGTCCTTCTACATATCCAAGCTCTAGGATTCAATGAACTTTCTTTACTAAGGCTCCCAGAGGGGGCAGCTAGGCACTGAAGCATGGAGTAGTGCTCACTGTGGAGAGAAGATCACAAAAATCACATCAAATGATAAAGGGCACCTGTGTGAAAAAAGTAAATCTTTTGTATAAAACATAAAAATGAACCTTTATAATACAATATAATTTGTTGTCTAAATCTGAAAAAAGGTAATTATGTACTTTATTTAGAATAACAAATTATTGTTTTCTTATCCAATGTTGTTATGTTATAACATTAAAGTAAGATATTGAGTTACCAAATCATAGAGGTCTAATAGGATATATGTAAATCTTTTAGGAAATAATGTAAAGTAAGGCTGTTGATAGTGCCGTGTCTCTTAAAATCAGGCCATTGAGGCTGGTTTATTGCTGCTGACTGGCTGCTAACAACGGGACTGTCTATATAAAAACTGAACAGTTGGCAATCCTAGCTTTCCCTTAACCAGAAAGAGGCATTTCTGGAGAATTAACGGAAATAAAGCCCTTCTATCTACAAATATATATCCTGTATGTATGCAGCTCAAGTTTGCAAGGTAGGAGGTGTATTAACACCCATGACGGTTATGGGTTGTGATTAACCTATGCCAGTAGTAGGAAAATGAACAGCAACAACAAATGCTGCACAACAGTGACACTGACAGCTGACACGGCAGGAAGCACCACTGCAGCCTCAATCCACTCATTTCCCTGAGGTGCTTAATTGATGCATACCAGGTGACAAGGCCAGCTACAGAAGGTCTGGGATACTGGAGGTACTGTGACAGCTATTCCAGCCACAGGAGCCCCTGCTTGTCATGTTGAGATGGGTGTAAAATGTTGACGATGTCTGAAAACAGCTTCAGAACGAACGTCAACACATCAGCTGGGTGAGCTTCTTTGTTAGTGTGACTGACAAGAATAGGGGCAGTCCCTAATGCTGCCTGTCCTTCTGTAATATTTCCAAAGTATTGTAACAGCTGGATGGTGACAGTGCACTTTTGTTAACCTCAGGCACCTGTAGTCTGGCATGTAGCATATCTAAAGCTCTGATTTGCATCTCTGGAATCAATCTCGTGAATGTTTTCCAGGCTGGCAAAGCTCAAATGTTTAAAATGACAGTCACTCTGAAAGCTTTATACCTTTGTGTGCATGTAGAATAAACGTAATCATGTAATAATGGGTGTTATTGGATTGGATATCGCTTTTCTTTGTAAGTAATGCCAATGATTTAGTAACTTTACAAACTCATGATTTTAAGTACCACAAAGATGTATAAACGCAAGAGATCTTAAATAGTTTTAAATAGTTTTATTGCCTACATAACAA